GATATTATCACACAGTGTTATACAGTAATATTTACTGATGTTTCGAGTACAATTTATTGCTCATAATCATATCAAGGCAATACTCACACAGCTTTCCAACTTCGTTTATAGGGTTCCACTATTCCTCATCTCTTGATTCGATTGGTAGTAATCTTTCCGTATTTCTGGTATGAGTGATGAGTCATCCCTATTACATTGTAGATTGTATGAACAAAGATTCAGTAATCAACCTCTCTCTCCACCTACCTATATTACTTTTTGGAATTTTAACCCTCTCCCACCCTATTGTGTGTTAATGCATGCAGTGAAATTGCTGAGCTATTTTCTAAATTACTTTTCTTCGCGGAGTCAACCATTCTAGGCGTAGCTAAATTCTTATGTTCTCATCATCTGAGTATTCCCGATCTACTAGTTTGACCTCAATCACAGTCACTGCGAGGTATTTTGTAAATGATATTATTTTGTTTAATTGGGTCAACTTACAGGGTCCTTTAGCCTACAGAGCTTGTCTCTGAGCGAGTTTGCAGTTTTGAATGCCACCGTAATTCTTGTTTTATTCAGAATCCTATGTAGGATCTCAGATGTCCCCTCCTTATATGGTACAACTGTAGATGTCTTATATTCTTTCTTATTTATGTTATCATTTTTAGTCTTGCTGTTATTTTTACTTTGCTTTTTACCTTTTTGGATCTTCCTAATCAGTTTTAAAGAATAGTTATTTAACGCTAGCGCTTCTTCTGCCTGTTCCATTTCATCATTTAGGTCTTTTGTTGTACTAATCAGTGTTATTGCTTTGTTTGTCAGACATTTAACTAAACCCGCCTTCACAGATATCGGATGAGATAAATTAAAGTGTAAATATCTATTAGAATGCGTTGGCTTCCTCTAAACGCTGGTGTTCACTTTACCTTCTTCCGTTCGTTTTATTTTTCCATCTAACGTAGCTAATTCTCCTTGTTTATTTTCCGATTCAAATGTGAATTTTATTCCCTTTACTAGTGAGTTTATGTGTCAATAAGCTAGAGATATGTTCTGTTTTTAACACTGTGAAAGTGTCATCCACATACCACCACCATATCTCTGGAGTAGGATTGAATATATTAAGAGTTATATTTTCCCATCTATCCATAAAGATATTCGCTACGACAGGGTATCTCATTGTTACACCTGTTTGTCTACATATTTTGCCCTGGAATTTAAAGATAGTAGATGTGAGGCATAACTGAATTCCTAAAATACTTTTCTCAATGGGCAGCTTTGTCCTATGAGTAAGTTCAGAATCAACAGTTAGTTCTCTTTTAACTGCTTCTAAGGCCATATTGATAGGTAAATATTACTGTATAACACTGTGAGACTTTATCAAAATAAATTTTAGCCACAATGGAATAATAAAGGAGTGTTGGGTCGCATAATAAAGGAACTACTAAAACACGATTTTATTATACGCATAGATTTTTCCACATTGCTGGACCCAACAAATTATGTAGTCTTTGAAAAACAGCTTACGATTGGTTTTATTGACTACATGTAATCACAGTGCTATGACTATATTTTTGCTCTCTCAGAAAGTCTTGACAGACGTCCACATATCCTTTAATTCTACTAAACAGTTCATCATAAATTGACTCTTAGTTGTCTTTGTACCAGCATTTAAGTGTTAGAACTACAGGTCAGTCCTACTGGGTCTTTATTACCTAAATCAGCGATTCTTATTATTATTCCCTTGGGTTCCGAGTGGAACATAGGGCTTCAACAACACATCTCGACATTGTTCTATTTTGTGCTGTCCTCTTCAGCTGGATCCACGAATGCCCATAATCTCTGATCTCCTCTTCGCCACACGATCTCCTCCATGTTACCCCCGCACCAACGACCCACTCGTCACTTCCCGTTTGAATTCCACTCTAGCGGTGGTCTGCATTGCGCGTGATTTCATTCGACGGTCTCCTCAATGTATGCCCGATCCATCTCCATTTTCTCCTACATATTTGTTGGGCGATCGGCTCGTGGTTATTTAAATCAGCAATTCTTGAAATACCGTTAAGTACAATGCACGCAATGACTCAAAAGACTACATTTAATTAAGAACGGAAACAATGCAACGATTAAAATTTATTTTCCCATCAAGTGAACATGTTTCTTCACAATGATAAATGCCATAACTAGAAACTTTTAACATTACAAATCATTATCGACTGTTTGAAAAAACTGCCTATAAAAATTGCCGTAGTTTAAGGACTACTATGTTCAAGAAGAAGTGTATGCCTCCTTTTCTATAAATTATCCGATTGCTTCAGCTGTCTGTAGAAGACGAACTCGTAGAGCAAAATTAAGATTAGTCGGAATGCGATAAATAATTTTAAATGCAGTATTAACATCAACCTTATGCTCAGTATCAACAAGGTGTGCTAAAATAGAACTACGAATAGATCTCGTTTGTCCCTTGCTTAACCATGCTGGATGATCTTCGGAAATACGACGATGAACCTACCTAATTGTACGCCCAATGCAGCTGCAGTTAAACTGGTAGATTCACATAGAAGAGGCGAATTTAGGTAGTTTATCCTTATTTCTCGAACATAGAACAGGGGTGGTTGTGAAGAGACAACGTACCTCTGCTGCATAGTAAGCTCTTTTAAATGCATTCTTCAGGCGCTGTGTTATGATTTCGCTGAAGTTTTCTCCGACAACCGCAATTTTATGAACATTGGTTTCTTCGGAATTGTAGCCATACTGACTCTCCTTGGTGCTAAATTCCTATTTTTCTCAATGAATTCATCTGGATAACCATTTTTTCTAAGTAATTCTCTAATAATCTTAAGCTCCTCATTGAGGCAGTCGTCTGAACAGATTAACTTAGCTCTATGAACCAGACACTTTACCAGGTTACGTTTATATTTCAAAGGTACAAAACTCAAAAAATGAGTGTTGTAGGTTTCCTATACACACTCCTTCTTAGTGTGCCATCTTCTTACCTTGCCATGAAGACGTTTAGGAATGAGACACTATCATTACTTTCTTTCTCTATGGTAAAGTTTATTGCTGAATGTGCATCATTAAACTTGTCAAGGATGTTCACTGCATCATTCTCGTCTTTCATAACCACAAACGTATCATCCATATATCGACAGTAGAAATCCATGTCATTAATTACTCCTTTCAGTGGTCCATTCTCTAATTTAGCGAGGAAAAAATCAGCTAGGATTGGATCTAATGGTGAACCCATAGCTACACCATCAATTTGTCTGTAATATTCCTAATTGAATAAGAAATGAACATTCATTGTACATCTTAAAATAAGTTTTTTCAAGGTGGATACAGAAATCTACCAGTTTGACTGTAGCTGTGGAGCCAGCTACATTGGGCGTACAATTAGGTAGGTTCATCGTCGTATTTCCGAAGATCATCCAGCATGGTTAAGCAAGGGACAAACGAGATCTATTCGTAGTTCTATTTTAGCACACCTTGTTGATACTGAGCATAAGGTTGATGTTAATACTGCATTTAAAATTATTTATCGCATTCCGACTAATCTTAATTTTGCTCTACGAGTTCGTCTTCTACAGACAGCTGAAGCAATCGGAATCCACCTTAAGAAACCAAGCCTATGTGTTCAGAAAAAATTTGTACAGCCACTTTCCTTACCGTGGCCATCTCTAGAAGAATACATAAACAGGACTACGTCGCCCCCCTCTCCCTAAACTTTTAAGAACTATAAAAATTATAATTGTCCAAATTATTTTTATTTATTTTGACCACTTCATCTTTAATTCGGTCGGTCGGTCGTTATTCTTGTAAAATTAATTTATTCTATTCATTTCTACCTTTTAAATGTGTTGATTTCCTTCGTTAATTATCAACCCATTGACATTCTGACACTGTTTAATTATTGTTAACAAACATATCGCCACTTGTTTGGTAAACTGTTGTGTATTGTAATAAAAATGCTATGTATATTAGAGTAAAGCCAGAGATGAGGATCTAACTGAAAAGTAAATATTTCTTCGCTCAATCTTTCTGTTTTCTAAATGTCTAAATGGGGATTTTTTGCTATATATTTGTAGCTGTTGAATAAATTGACTAGACGAATAAAATTAGCTGAGTTCCATTTTTCGTTGCCACCAAACAATTTATCAAAGTCAGATGACACTGTTGAGAAGTCGATGAAGGATAAAAATACTCAGAATCAACAAAATGAACGAATCGATAGTCTTTATGTCTATTTTCCACAATTATAAAGTAAAGTGTTGCACTGCCACGTTGTACTCTAAGCAGTTGATAATCGGTGTTTACATATCCTATCAACACCATGTTTATGGTATTTAAATGAAAGTTAATGGTTTATTTTAAATTGATGGTTCCTCACTGTCCAATCACGTTTAAATGAACAATTCGCATTCTAAAGACGAGAGAAATGTAACATTCATTTCTAGACCATAAATCAACATTGTTAATTTTCGTCTAATGGAAATCTACTCACGTACGCACACTGACTCCTAAAGAACTGCATTTACAAGCACGTTGAATAACTACCTCAGAAAACTGACCATTGTGATCTTGAACACAGCAATGTGCTGTTGTGTCACTACTCATTTTAGCGACTAACAAACGCATCTTTCTAGATTGGTAAAGTTGGAAAATAGCTTCACTAACTTACATATATAGAATAAAATGATTGAGGTCTAAAGTCACAAAATAAATGCTGACATGAAATCCTCAGATTTATAAGAGAAAACTGTACAAAACCCATTCAGTCTACCCTTTTAAATTTTTTAAAATTTTACAGAATAAATCTCACCAAGAACTGCGAACACTTTCACAGTCATGATTACTGCAAAAGTATAACTTATCGCTGATACATTCTCTATTTCACTGTCTAACACTGCTCAGGGACACTGCCTAGTAAGTCTACATTTAAGCCTCTTTTATGTAAAATTAATTCTTAAGGAGATAAAACTTATCCACTTCGCTAAGCATTGCAAGAAGATAACAAGTAAACAGCGTTTATTATTATTATGATTAGAAAACATGTGGTGAAAATACACAATTCATTTAAGAAATCGAACTGTTAAGATTTCATTCCAGAGAATTTAAGAAAATGAAGTAGTCGATAAATTAGGTTATTTACAATAAAAATAAACAACTTAATAGTTGAGAAATCACTTGAATATATGTAGTGTCTGCATGATTGTACTATGCTTTTAATTTACAATTTTTTGAATCACAGTACAATTCAACATTGATCAGGACAGCTGGAATACCACTGATTGTTATCACACGTCTACTAACAACAGTATAGTTTAGTGTAGTCAGACCACCAAGAGGATGGCGAATTAACTTAACCTGAAAACAAAATAATATGGAATAGAATAGAATGGAATACAAGGCTGTTGTTATGACAAAACTCAAGGAGAATGACATAAAATGATACGCAGGGACAAGGGAGTTAAAGTGCAGGATCGTAAACTTACAACTTATAGCTTCCCAGTGGCTGAACGGTCCATGAGCTCGCCGTGTAACCAGAAGACCCCGGTCGAAACCCCTGTGGGTATCTACAGTGAGGAGTCCCAAACTGGGACGAAACAGCTGTCCACTACTCCCTGATTTCGTAATAGTTCTCTAACTGATGTCAGTCAGTGATCATACCTGTAACCAAACAAATCCGTGCAAAAACCAACACTTGGAAACTATTGAGAGTACTATTATTCCATGAGACTAGAATGTTTACCAGTCAACCGAATTGTAAAAAAGAGTTAAGATAAGTACATCACAAGTTTAAAATCCCGTGTACTTAAGCATGATAAATTTGAGGAATCTTGATTTTTAGTACAACAAACCATACTGCTTGCAATATTCTTTTCTTTTTGAATGGATTATTGACACCGAGACGAAGAACTTACGTATAAAAGCTACAAGTAGTCTGTAGACATGATAAAAACACACAATTCACCAGAGTTTGACCATCAATAATCATCACAAAGTACATATAACTGTAGTAGAACAATTGATGGAAAAATCACCCCATAAATATTCAGTTTAAACTATTGATAATTATTATGAATATTTCAGCTAATTTTGTAATTAAGACTCTGTTCTCCTGCCCTGTACATCACTGTCTTAGCATTCTCCCATCTTTCGACTGAATCTTCCTTATCTGTGGATTCCCATTTATACTGCTTCGCCTTGTTGTTGTGTGATAGAAGACTGTTAATAAATAGCATGTTCTTTTACGGTTGCTGTTTCGTTTGAATGAATTCAATATTACGCCATGGAGTGACTGCTCGACCTCTACGGGAAATGTGTTCTCTTCTGTTTGATTCTTGAAGACAGATGAGTTTTGATCCCACCTTATTATTAGGAATCTTCTACTTGACTTTCTGGTATTTTACGTTTCCGTTTGGTTAACCAATTCTGTTGCACAATGTGTTTTGTACCTGAGAAAATTGTTGACCGTATACCTACCGAGCGCCATTGTTGAGACAATTCCGTTTTTTATATAAGTTATTATTATTCACTGATACTATGGAGACTGTTGCTGATAAGATTTATCAGTAGCATATAAAGAAACGTTCATCGGCATAAAAGCATCAAATAGCAGGGAGATACATTTGATGTCAGAGAAGGCAAATGATACAATGTTGTGGATATACATGGGAGACGTGAGAGGAACACAAAGAAACAAAATGTAAGGGAAGGCCAGGAGTAGCACAACACGAAGATGTGTGTAAATAGTGCGTTGAAGATAAGGTGTGCATAATTTAACTATGTAGAGATACCAATTTCCAAATAAACATTCCTTAACCAAATATTTCGTCTTCTACCATTTCAGTACCACAGATTTTATCAATCTCAGTAGTGTTTTGATATAGTTATTCGATGAAGTTTGGTAAACTATGCAGAAGAATGCATATATTAGTTTCCTACGTTTACACTGGAAATACCAGTGTGGGCTGGAAATACATTACCAGCCCAATTTTCTAATGTACAAACTTACATCTACTTGCAGATAATCTCACAATTCACTCAGGTTTATTGATTTTCGAACAAGCAGTTCTCTTGACGACTTATCATCCACAATGATGCATATTCTTTGAAGTTCACAGCTTAAAAATGAGTCTCACTTAGAGGAAAGAACTACGTTATAAGAAGAAAAACAGTCAATTTGCCAATTTTTTAGCCGAATACTAGTAGAAACTGCATTACTATACTATAACTAGACATGCTTATTTAGTTCCAACATTGTATGATTTATGGTATCGATGCTGGAGAAAGGGAAACTCACCACCTACCATACTGGAGTAACGATAAATCTAAAGAAAAAAGATCAGACTCAATTGTTACCTCCTAAATTAACCAGAAATGGAAAATTCCCACGCAGTGAAACAATGATTTTCATTGACTAAGCCATAAAAAGATTTCATCTATAAACTACAACTATAGTTGTCTGCCATCCATATTTTTAAACAGGTATAACACTGGTATAGAACTGTCTCTGCCCATCTGATAATAGTTAGAATTCAGCCAACAGAAAATGATATTTAGAAAAAACAACAGATTGAGCGAAGAAATATATTCCCTTTCCAATTAGTTCCTCATCATCGGCTCTACACTATATATAGTTTTTCATCAAAATTTTACCAATCAAATGGTTATTTCAGTTAATCAGATTTAGGTATAGGGAGTGGGTGGGTGAAATTGAGAGGTTAACAACAAGTTATTATACAATCAAGACATTCGTAAAATGATGACGACTAAGGAGAATAGGATGACTCAGAAGAATTACGTAAAATACATACAAGTTAATAGAATTAGCTAAATTTGTTAAAAAAAAATAACAGCCAAAAGATAGTTTCAAGGGGAGGGAAGAAAAAATCGTTTTTAAAAACCTAATACATATTATGTAGTTGGCCATGTTATAGAAACGGGCTGTACAAATATCTTTTGAACACACAGATTTAGTCTGTTCAGATGAGTTCTGACTACCTCTGTTGTACGTAGAAGTCGTACTCGTAGACCATGCTTTCAAGTATTGGTTCGTAGGGATTTAGTCGATTGGTTAGAGGATTTTCATCATGAGCTGACATTAGTTAGAGAACCATTGGAAAACCTGGGAGTACTGGACGGCTGTTTCGTCCTAGTTTGGGACTCTTCATCAGTACGCACCCACCGGGATTCGAACCCAGGACCTTCTGGTTTTGTTTTGTAAGGATTAGGTTTGTGTTTCGATTTTGACCACGGATTGATATCAGTCATAGAACCATTGAAAATAGGGCCAGTCGCCAGTGAGTATCTCATTGGTATTCAAGTGTTGGTTTGTAGGGATTTGGTTAGAGTTGCCTTGATGTCCAGTATCGACGAGATGAACTCATATTGAGCTGCGTATAGCAGCTCTATTCAGACCTTTGGCAAACCAACATGGGAGGTTTTTAGAAATTTGACTATGAACTTGTCTGATCGCATGTCTGATGTAACTAGCTCCACATGGACAGTTGAACTGGTAAATACACACGGAAGAGGCGAAACAGAGCAGTTTGTATTTATTTCTTGAGCTAACTATTGGTTGGTTAGTGAATATGCAGCACAGCTTAGCTGCACTGAAGGTCCTTTTGAATACCCTCCCTAGAAGTTGTGATAAAATCTCAATATTGACATCACCCGTGAACTGTAATCTTAGGAAGACTGATTTTTTGGGAATAGTGAGCACCTCCTACTTCTTACTTTCTGAGTTCATGTGTTTGTTCAAGAATTTAGTCGGACATCTGTTTCTACTTGATAGATAATGAATATTACCGAGTTTTATTGTTCAGTGTCTCATTTAAACAGATAACTCTAGTTCGCTGAACTAAACACCTACGTTTGTATTGTAGAGGTACGAAACTCAGGAAGTGAGTATATTGTCCAGTGTAAGTAGGTTTTTGATACAAACCTCTACATTTTGTTCCGTCTGTTCGTTTCGTCCAAATATTTCATATATCAGGCATACTGTGTAAGGGTTGATGATACTACTGAGATGCTCAGGCTGAAGTAAGTGGAGTGGGGTTCGAAAGCATAACCCACTGGCTGAAAATTAAGTGTTGATAATACAAGCAGAAAAAAGCCCGTATACAGTGATTTCTAACCAGATAAAAATAATTCATACAAATTCTCTTAAAATCTGTGGATATGTGCATGTGACTGTTTAGCACTCATACGATCCAGAGGTATAGTTCAATTAGCTAAACACGTTATCGACCTTACAAATACAACTGAAATTAAATAAAAGTAAATCAGTCTAGGTAAACACTTGAAAAGCCTCGAACGCTGTGCAACTTACAACTTCAGGACTGTAATACGTTTTATCATCCCGAGTATGCTGACCCTCTTGATGGATATGACGAAATGCTTTTATTCCCATAGTAACATTAATTGGAGTTGAAATCTACAAAGTTGAAGAAAAGATTTACAAAAGTTATTTATAAATAAATAATCACTAATTAACTTAAATGATACAACTCAGCCGACACACTTCGATTTAAACTAATAATTGTTTAAGCATGCCTAAACCGTAAACGTTGACAATGCTAACTGACATCCCATTTCCAAGTGGATGAAAAGTGTGACTAAAAGATTTGGGATCCAAACGTCAAACACACACTAGTACTATATTAATGTAATAGAGAAGATTTGTGGCTCAGGTGGATGATTTTGGTGTGGTTGTGTTCTCTGAACTGGATGGTTTGGTTGCGAAGCTTTCATTGCTCTACTGAGCAACATCTTCAGCGCATACTTCGATGTGAAGTGAGCTTTTAGAATTCTCTATGAGTTTATTAGTCATCTCTTCTAGTAACCTTGAACGTGATTGGTTGTTTTCGTGTGACATTTCATCCCCTAGTTTGCTTGTCTCGGTGCTGGCTGCTTCTTTGGTCTGAATGTCGTTAGTCATTCCTTCTGCTAACCTTGAACGTGATTGGTTGTTTTTGTGTGACTTATCACTTTCTAGTTCACTTGTTTTGGTGTTGACTGTTTCCTTGAGGCCTGGTATTCAAATGAATCAGCAATCAATAGACACATAGAGATTGACAAAATATACCAATCCATACAAAGAAATTCACACAAAAACAAAGTCAAACTTCAGGTCAAGGAAACAGTCAACACCAAAACAAGTGAACTAGAAAGTGATAAGTCACACAAAAACAACCAATCACGTTCAAGGTTAGCAGAAGGAATGACTAACGACATTCAGACCAAAGAAGCAGCCAGCACCGAGACAAGCAAACTAGGGGATGAAATGTCACACGAAAACAACCAATCACGTTCAAGGTTACTAGAAGAGATGACTAATAAACTCATAGAGAATTCTAAAAGCTCACTTCACATCGAAGTATGCGCTGAAGATGTTGCTCAGTAGAGCAATGAAAGCTTCGCAACCAAACCATCCAGTTCAGAGAACACAACCACACCAAAAACTATATTAATGTTTATGACAAACAGTTACCAGGTTGAATTTATTTCACAAGCAATAAAAACTTAATAAAAGAAAGTGGCATCTCAATGAAATATTCAACAGGAAACTTGTATGCATAGCGTTTTAGTAGTTTATTGTGGCTAACTGATTTCCTTGGTAAATGATAACAGAGTCATTGAAAAGAAATACTTCTTTATTATATAAATCTCTCTTATTTATAAATATACAGGTATATTTGCCCCCCTCCCCACCTCACCAAAATTTTTATTTACAGAATCTGATTAGGAGGTTGTGAGCTCAGAAGTCTATAACTAAATTGCTGACTTATACTACATGTTGCATTTAAAAGCTGTTGAAATGCATCAAGAGATAAGTGTTCCACATTATTTAAACTGATATTTTTTTGAAGTAAATAACACTCAAGTGTAGGTTAGAATGAAAATTGAAAAGATAAGTGTTGACGTTATACAAACAATACCTGTTAATCGAGTAACACGTTGTTAAACACCTTAAAAAAATAATTCGTGTGTATTGCATTACTTACATACACATAATCAACACTGAAAAGATAAGATTCAGGTATAAGTTGTAAGCCAATAGTTTTTTTAGGATAATTGAAACAGGAGAAGGTTTATGGACATAATTAAGAGCAATATACTAAAAAATAAATAGGGGAATATTATTAAATAAAGTCTTTGGAGGTGAAACTGACCTTCAGAAGTTATGTAACGCAGTTGTATGAGCAAACAAATACATTAGTACCTAACAAAGGTAATGAAGTCTGTTAGCAGATCCGGCGATACAAGGATATACACAAAAATCCAAATCCCTTACTCTAATTGTCGTCAAATATTAGTGGTAGCGAAACGGAAACTTGGTAAAGGAATGTGGTATCTCTATATAGTCAAACTATGTACACCTTATCTTCAACGCACCATTTACATACATCTTCGTATTGTGCTACATTTGTAGTTCCTTCATATTGTGTTTCTTTGTGTTCTTTTCACGTCTCCCGTGTATCTTCACAACGCTGTATCATTCGCCTTTTCTGACATCAAATGTATCTCCCTGCTATTTGATGTTTTTATGGCGATGAACATTTCTTTATATACTACTGATACAGGTTATCAGTAGCATACGTCGAAGTAGTGCCTCTTTACGCTTCAAACACAATGTCAGTAGAAAGAAAAACACCGTTTACTCCTACCGAATTGACGCATAACAAGGGTCTAAACTCTAATAATTGCCAATGTGGATGACAATCTGTAGTATACAGACAACTAGATTTATTGATGCTTCAATAATTGCCAACATTTTTATTGACTGCTAAAGCTTGAAAAATACTAATACAAAAGATAATACCAACGACGAACACATTTACACTAGTTATTGTGTAAACGGATGGCTACACATGATCTCATTGAAACACCAGTTTCTACTGACTACATAATAACTTTAATCGTTCCGTGTTCTCATTTTTACTAAATAAGAAAAATCCTTTTGTGACAGCCATCGATAAATTAGCCTAGTAAATATTTTAATCATCATTATAAAACGGTACCTAACTTCAGCTTAAAAACTGAAGAACAAGACTAGTTTCAGACGTATACATATACAGTATTTCTTGCCTTGGCTTTGGACTACATCTATCAAGGGATCACATGGGTGTGTTTTTCAGTTCAAAGTATATCTCTGAAGTTCACCTCATTACTGATATTTCTATACCTCAACAGTCTCGGTTGTGTTAAAGCCTATGTTGATGTTTGTTAAAGGTGTTTACTTGTTTCGTTTCCACTCGTTTTCATCGAAGATAAATTTATAAAAGTCTATACACCCATATTCATTTTATAGTGATATGCCTCTATCTGACAGTTTCCTTAGTTGGCTTATCGTACGCAAACGATACAGTTCATTTTACTGAAGATTTAATACTCAATAAATGCAGAGAGACACTTTTCCCCATCTCTGTACGACCTCAAATAGGAAGTATTAAGTTACATCAATATAGTCAACAACTATTTGCGTCTACATGCACTTGATGATCAGCCGAACTTAGTGTGTGCTGATGACACCAAGTGGTTACCCAAACGTTTGTACGTCGGTGGTTCAATGATAGAATTCTCGCCAGCCACACGAGAGGTCCGGCTTCCATTTCCCGTCGATGCATGCATAAGCCTTGCCTACTATACTAAAACAAGTAGTAAGCCTGGAAAACACAGGAGGTTGAAGGTGAGACTAGCGAACCTGCCCCGTAAATATAACATCACTGCTATGCTTAAACTTCAAAGCTTGAACCCCAGTGTTCCACTCTGTACGCAAGACAAAAAATTAACCCACACCTTAGTAAGTAAGGAGTAGTTCCAACCCATCGCCCAGAGCTCTATGTTTTACCATAAAAATGGTCACTGGTGATAATCTGTCTATAGTTACAGTCAATGAGGTGATTGAATGTATTGACCACTTTACCTAGCCTGACAAACGCTCTAGCTCATATGTTGATAATTGAAAATATCCATTTTGAATTCAAAGGACCAATTTGGATTAGCAGCAACGCTAGGTACTATGTTCATAATGTTTTTCTAGTATTTAAGATTAGAATTTGGGCAATGCTGTGGGGTATAATACCATAAGAGAATAATTTTATTTGGTACAACACAGTAAAAAACTATTAGTGTAGTAAACAAACAATATTGTGTCATTGTATGCTATATCAGATAAAACTATTCTCCAATGAAGTAGGTTAATTCCTGTCAGTACAAACGAGAACTATGTTAAGAGAATTATGATAAACAACACATGGTGTCTTTGTACACCAGCGACAGTCGAAAAATAGTCTTTAAATGTATAACGAAAGTTATTGGTTTTTCTTATGTATTTATATATTCCAAATTTTGATAAATTTATAATCTTCAATAATGACTAATCCGGACTTACTTTAAGTCCATTTAACTTTATACGTCTCCGAAATTCATCGTCTTCATGTCCCCATCCCCAAAATGAATTCGACATTCCACCAACTAAACTGTAATGGCTTCTTCTAATGATTACAACGCCACCAGTATATTTCTTAAAAAAGTTGTAACGTGGGTGGAGATAATATGGAATTAGGTGAACCGGTCCAAACTCAGGAGGTATGTCATACTTCAATGCTGGATCCACAGGTAACAGGTCAACATCATGTAACGCTAAGTAATTTGTATGAGGAAGTTTCAAACATTGTAAGGCAGATCGAGATATTGAGTTTCGTCGAACAATAGTTTCTACAACAACACCATTGACTTCAGCTTTGATGGACTCCAGTGCTCCAACATTTAGTAAAGCTCCTCTATTAAATCTGAAATAATTGAACCGAATAATAAAATAGATATTGTTTCCTGTTCAGTTATTACGATAAAGGAAGAAAACTTATCGAATTCAGACAAGAACATTGCGATGACTTAGAACTTGACTTCCTTAAAGCCACGCTCGCACAAAACGATTACCCTAACCGATTTATTGACGGAAACATGAAAGATAAGCAGTTCAAATTGGTCACCGACTCAGTTCCAAAGAAAACCTTATTCATGAACTTGGAATTCGAAGGTGATCAAGCTTCATCTATACTCAAAAACCGTCTCTCTAAAGCAGTCAGTAGGACGTTCTTCGCAGCACATTCACCAGCCGCAAGTTGTTCTTCGTCTCTGTAAAAGATAAGCCACCCCATTTGGCCGCCTCCATGTACATCTGTCAGTTCACTTGCTCTTGAGGAGCAAGGGACATTGGCCGTAGCCAAAGAACGCTTTCCATACGGGTACGAGAACATATTCCAGCATGGTTTGGCTGTTTGGCTCTCATGAGGTATGCAACATAGACGGCACTGAAATAGAAACTAAATCGGAAATTAAATACCTAGGCGTCATTCTATCTGCTGATCTCTCCTGGTCGTCTCATATCTTAGCAATTTCTAAGAAAATATTCCGTCTTACCTTCTACATTAAGAAGTTAAAACATTCTGGTATTACCCAACCCTTACTCCTACAATTCGTTAATTCTCGCATCCTGCCTATTATTCTCTATTGTTCCCCCTTAGTTTTTCCCGGGCTACTGAAGAAAGACTATAACATATTACGCAGGATGTTAAATGTCGTCAGCAGAGTAAGCAACGTGCCACTTAACCAGCTTGTTAATATTTTGGTTGACAGGCACATGGACTCATGTGAAAAATGGGCCATATCCACCACCCTCTTCACTCACAACTCTCCCCTTGCATCTCATCAGGTAAAACAAGAAGCCAATATAGAAAACTATATGCTCGCACCAGCAAATACAAAAACTCAACCATACCCTACTTAGCTCGTGTTCTGTGTGATAAAGAAAGCATCAGGCGTGACACCTATAATTCATTAAATAGTCATTAGTACAACTGGATCTCATCTTTCCAACCCACTTCACCAATAGGTACAACATTTTCTTTCTTTCTGTTCCTTTTCTCTCTCTTCTTTTTCCGTTATGTGCTGCTTTGTCTCTTTCTCTCGCTTACGCCAGTTAATAAGACAGCTCCCACTTTTCTAACACCTTCAAACACTGTTTCAGCTTTACCTTTGCTACCGACATGCCAATGTGTTGTTGTAATAATGAACTGAGATTTCCTTAATCTATGTAGAATTCTATTTATTGATAATGTACAAACTGGATGCAATACTGTAGTAAAAATGCTGAGAATTCCATTCTGTATCACAAGTACTGTTTTGGAATAAAGCAAATTATTATTATTATTAAAAGGGAAAAAGGAAGAGTGTGAGAAGCTTTATTCGAGAACACCTGATCGAATTCTGTCACTCTACCTACCCTAAACACTATTTTATGATCATCTACCGAATCCATGCTGACTTGCCACGTTTTCTTCGATACACACTTACAAAGACAGCAGAGGCCTTGGCAATTCATGAATTTAAGCCAGACCTTTGTGTACAAAAGAAATATGTACAATCCCTACTTCTGCCTTGGCCATAGAGAGATAGACTTTTTAACAGTTTGATTTATTTTATATTTTATTTTGTTTATTTAGTTAATCTATATGCCTTTCCCTCATTACTACGATTACCATTATTATTACCATTTGTCATTCTAAGTCCGAAAAATGTTTTTACAATGTTGAATCCTATCTTATCGAATTCGACACGTAACGTTTTATATAAGGCTGATAACCCTATAATTATACACCCCTTCCGAGCATCTATACGTCTTATGCATTATTCTATATATGACACGAATTGTTTTGCTACTTGACATTCAGCTATGATTATAATAAAAAATACTTTAATTGCATTTCATAATACTATTATTTCATGTATTCAGACCATTGATCTAATTACCTTACCGGATATTATATATATATATATTGTACTACACAGATTTACACTGTACTCCAGTGTTGAAGTTTTACTCTTATACTACTAGTTGTAATTTAGAAATCTAATTGAAACTATTTTAACTGCATTGAATATTGAAGCTAAAGATATACAAGTTGTGTTTAACTGGCTGAGAATATTACTATTTTACGACTGCTTTAATGAACATATCAGCTTAACTTAATTTCCTTTACGCAAACGATGGACAAAGTAAGTAAAAGAGTCGTAGTAAATATTTTAGAAACCAAAATTACCGATTCAACTACTGAGTAATTATTAACAACAGGTAAAAATCAAACATTTATAATCAGGCTAGAACTTTGTCCATGCATAAGATCAAATCCCTAAGGTTTCTCAATCGAACTATGTCCACAAAGTAAAGTGCTTGGAATGCAATGCGATATACATGGGACGAACATCACGAGAAATCAAAATCAGAAGAAATGAACATTGTAAAGCATCTGTTCGACCACAGAGAAATCCAGTTGAACTAGAAAAGCTTGAAAAATCATCAGCCACAGAGAGTCTATACGCTAAAGAATCAGGTCACAAAATTAATTTTGACAATATTGAAATCATTCGGAAAAATTTCAGAAATCACAAAGAATATCTAGTATCAGAAGCACTTCATATCAAATAGAATCCAAATTGTGTAAATAGGGATAATGGACCAAAACAGGACTTGACCTAGTTGCAACAGTCTTCCTGCCCCCATCAACGAAGTGACAAAACCAACACAAATGTGACAAGTGATTTCATTATGTTAACACAAGCTGCTTTTGTAATTTCATACACTTATCAAATCCAAATATCTACACATAGTTTTGTTATTTTTACCAACTAACCCACTTCACAACGTAAAAATTACCTCATTATGAAGAAAGATGATTGAGTTGCTGTATATAAGCTGAGATTTTGTAAATTCTGGCTTAATAATACTTTGATAAAGCTATTAGCATTGAATGGTGAGAAGTTAGTAAAAATAATATCTCTTTTTCTTTCATTCATCGGGAAATACAAGAACTATTATAGTGTCCATTTACAGTTAACTTGCCATCGTACAATTTTAATCTTAAATTTATACTACTTATTATTTTTAAGTAGACGAAGCGTTTCTTAGAAAATTTGAGCAAACCAATAACAACAAACTGAGCGGGGACAAAACAACTATTTGATTTCGTCCTGAATAGTGAAATTAAAGTTTTATTATAATCTTAACATAGTAGATAAATTGTCGGGCATTAAGTAAGAATGATCATGATAAATGGATAAAACGAAGTACTCAGGGAGTAAAATATAAAAATACCACTGTAGTTATATATGTAACGCGATAGAAGTTCCTTAAAAAAACAGTGTGAGGATGAAAGGATGAGGTTCGTTGGCCGCCTGTTTGACACCTGGGCTACCTTTCTGTACATCTACATATTTGCATCTAATACATCATGTTTTAATTTTAACAAAATATGATCACAAATCGTATCAATTACAGTAATGAATTCATCAAATGTTTTAAACCATACGACTTTCATGCATCTAATAATACTAAGAGAAAACATCAGGGTGGTTGGCAACGTGCTCTCAAACGGACAACATTATATCGCACAACTATTCCTGATATTGTCAGTTCAAACTGCCGTTCACTTCCCAACAAAATTATGCATCTCCAGTCTCACTTATCATCCGAAACTTATCATCACAATACGGCGATAGTCGCATTACAAGAAACATGGCTCCATGGTCTTTATAACGGCAACCTGGTTTCTCTAAATGGTTTTACATTGTTTAGACAAGATCGAATATGCTCTAGAAAGAAAAGAGGTGGTGCTGTAGCAACCTTCATTCATTCTCAGTGGTCAACTTCAAATAATGTATGTTTTTCTTTCTCTAGCGACTTTATTGATTGCATTACAGTCAAAAGTCGTCCGAAACACTTATCCAAGTTTAAATATGTCTTCATCTCAAACATTTATGTTACTCCTGGCTGTTCTGCCTCGGATCTATCTGATTTTGCCGATGAATTCACAGCATTCGCGGTTACACATCTTGAAAACTCTTTATCAGTTGTCGCAGATTTCAATACCTGTGACTGTTCTTTTCTTGAATCATTAGGTCATGTCAATATTGTCAAATTTCCAACTCGACTTGATAAAACGCTGGATCTAGTGTTTACTAATGATGCGGAAATATATGAAGCACGCAGACGTGCTCCTATAATGAACTCTGACCATTCAATTATTCGGATATTACCCAAAATTTACAGCAGATATCACTCTAATATCCTCTCGAATTTCTCCAGGAAAACACAACAAAGATGTTACTCGCAAGAAAACGTGCTCAAACTAAGATGTATGTTGAATGATACAAACTGGGAACTTTTCACCGAACACACACTGGATGATACTATTTCCAATCTGACTGACTATCTTAAATTCTGCCTTGATGTATGCTGTTCAAACAGATACTTTTCAAGAGAATGGACCGTTTCTCTTCCCCTCATCTCAAATAGATTCGAAGAGAAAAAGAGAGACTGTACAAGGCTAAGGACAAAGCTGGTCTTAGGACGATAAACATCCAAATTAAATCCGAAATCAAGAGGTTAAACAATATTTATAATCAAAGAATTTTGTCATGTAAAACTCCTGGGAACATGTGGAAGCTTTTCAAAGAAATTACAGGTTGTGATAAGCATAGTTCTTGTGCTCCCTCTATTGATGTAAATACTCTTAATAGATCTTTTATCCGCCTTCCCAATGTACCTTTTAGCTTCAATGTAACAAATAACATGACCAGTGACTTTAGTAGTTTTAAAACTTCTGATGTTCTTAAATGTTTAAAATCTCTCAAACCTTCCCAGAGTCTAGACCCTGATGGTATACCTGCCATTGTCCTAAGGAAATGCGCTGATATTTTAAGTAACCCACTTACAAACATTTTCAACACTTCTTTTTCTAATAATGTTGTACCTTTTCTGTGGAAAGATATTAAAATCATCCCTGTACCCAAGTCAGGTTCTGGTAATAATGCTAAGTTTAGACCTATCGCTATTACCTCTCCTTTTTGGAAACTAATGGAGAAATTATTGTTACTAAAACTTGTTCCATCCCTAAGTTTCTCAAACGATCCAAAGCAGTTTGCTTACAAACAGGGTAGAAGTACTTTGGACGCTGCTGCTGTGTTTCATCACAACATTGTATCCTCCTTAGACAAAGGGGCCAAGTTTGTCCGTTGTACGTTCCTTGACTATACATCTGCTTTCGACTCTGTACCTAGAGGCCTATTGTTAAACAAGCTTAGCCTTACACAAACTGAGCCCTGGGCTATCAACTGGCTACACTCTTACTTCTCTAATAGGATGCAGTACACGGCATATAATGGTGTATCTTCCTCTCCTTTGCTTACTGAAGCTGGAGTTCCTCAGGGTGCTGTTCTCTCTCCGTTTCTCTTTTCCTTCTTCTTACATGATTTACCTCTCTCAGATGAAATCAACTTCGTCAAATATGCAGATGGTCTGACTGTATCGTTTCCCATTAAGTCTCTGTCAGACTGTTTCAAATTAAATAGCTTCCTATCGGACATCAGTCAGTGGTCTAAACTAAATGGTCTCATGCTGAATCCCTCAAAATGCCAGACTATTGACTTCTCCCTTAGGCATAAACGAGATCTACAAACACTAGTAAGTTTTCATGAAAACTGTTGCATTGAGGGGACTAAAATTGAAACTAAGTCTAATGCAAAATACCTCGGTCTAGTTCTATCTTCCGACCTTACTTGGACATCTCATATCCTAATGATTTGTAAGAAAGTGTTCTATCTTACCTACTACATTAAGAAACCTAGACAATCTGGAATCACCCAACCTCTACTTTCACAATTTGTCAACTCTTGTATCTTACCTATTCTACTTTACTGCTTCCCGTTAGTCTCTCCTGGTCTACTGAAAAAGGACTATACCATCCTGAGAAGGATGTTGAAGGTAGTCAGTAGGACTAGTGGTGTAAAACTCAGTCAGCTCGTCACTACTTTAGTTGATAGGCATCTGAATACATGCGAAAAATGGTCAAATACCATACTCTCCGACCCCCAACACCTCCTCTATTCCCAACTCTCGCCTTGTATCTCATCAAGTAGAACCAGAAATCAGTGTGAAATAATCTATGCTCGTACAACCAAGTACAGGAACTCAACGATACCATACTTGGCCCGTGTTCTAAGCGACAGAGACGATGTTAAGCGCGAAACCTATGACTTGCTTTGTTGTTAATAACATAATTTTAGGCTCTTTTATTTCTTTCTTATTTTGTATTCTTTAGCGAACTCCTTCTCAAACATACTTAGCTACCTGAAATATTAACATTGGCTTCCTTTTTTGTACTTTACTATATTCCTTCTATTGTATATCCACTGGTTCCGACTCTATTAGCACTATGAGTATTACAAAAATGTCCTGTCATTAACCATCATGTAATATTAGTTTAGTGGCTGTTGTTTCTTATTTTCTATACTTTTCGGCAATATTAAACTGACAATCATTGGTTGTGAACGCCATAGTCACCACCTTAAAAAAATTTTGTATTATTCAGGATTACTCACACTACCACTACAAACACTGCATTAGACTTGACAATAAAAAACAAAACAACAACCTGAAATGTTATTTTATGTTTGTTTAGTGTTGTTTCAACCAAATTAACTGATCATCTTGGCGATGAACATTCCTAAATATCATTTCATAACTTCTTGTATGACTATAGCTTTACTGTCACCATGCATAATCATATTATAGCTTCTACTACCCAATACTGAGTTATTATTATATGATGTTTATTTTCCTTTCTACTGCTTGGTATTTTTCGCATTTTTTAAAATTATTTTGTGTTTTTTGTAGTTGTTCTTTTGCTGTTGGTGTCTTTATATTTATTTTTTTTTGAAATACTCCTTTTAAATGTTTGATAAAGTTAGATGCAAATATTGTAGACATATGCTGAAAATTCCACACTGTACCACTAGTACTGTTTCTGGAATAAAGCAAATTATTATTTTTTATTCATTTTTTTATTTTTGATCACAGCTTGATGCCACACCGTATTTTCAGTACAAGTATGGCATTTTCAGCATGGATATCGGTAGCCCAAATTTCGCAGGCCAACCATAGATATCGGGTGTGCGTCGGCAGGGGATCGAACCCCGGACCATGTGCATGGTCGGCGAGAGTCCTAACCCCAGTGCCACCGACGCACTATTATTATTATTATTATAAGTAGTTGATCAGAAACGGGTGAAATAAAAAAGGATCCGTTTTATCCTGCTCCATCTGTTACTATTATTTCGTTCACACTTATCTAATTCACATGCATCACTTTAGGTTCTCGACGGATAGCACCAAAGAAAAAGTGGTAAATCTAAAATTCAAGTGACAGCAGTTGAAATTCTTCGAAGCAGATTATCAAGGGCGATTTGAAAAGTATCTTTGACTGCATCTTCACGCCACACCTTCTTTATATAACTTTTTTATTCATTAAAACGTCAAAGACAATGTCCCACTGTCGGCAATACCGATGTGCATATATCAATTCACTTGCTCCTTTGGAGCTAAGTACACAGGGACTACCCAGCAGGATACTAGTCAGATGAGAACAAGAATATTCCCCAACATTGTCTTCGAAAGGAGAAATTAAATGAGACCATAGTTCAATTCTTGAGCACCTTGTTCTTACAAAACATTCGGTATCAATAAGAAAGCCTTTCAAAGTGATATAAACGGTGAGGCCAAGTTGTTCGGAAGGTTTACGGCTAAATCTTTTATCCACACCAAAGGCTCTTGCTATACACAAGGAAAACCCTGAACTGTGTATTTTCTTTTGTTTACCTTGTACTTTCCAGTATACCAGTGTGTTTGAGTGGTTTTTCAAATTCAACTGTACTACATATTTTCCATAATCGCATTTACTTAACTATATCTGATCAGTACAAGGAACACGTATAAACCTTACAATTCTAGCTACATACATTTCCAGTCACTTGTTATTGTAGTATCGTACTTCAAAAACACCTGGTGTCTTTGATTTTGGTATTTCATGTGCCGAGAATCCAAATCAACCAAATTCATCATTTGTAGATTACATAGTTGGACGCGAAAATCCACTACGGTTTTTTGATTCTGTGTTCTGTTCATGGAACACAGATAACCGGTTAACTGTAGATCTTACGAAAGAAGGTGCAGTCACATGTTAATCTGTCGTTAGGTCACTCTTCTCCTTATTATTATTATTATTCTTTTGGGTTCCAAGTGTAACATAGGGCTTCAGCAACACATCTCCACTTTGTTCTATTTGATGCTGTTCTCTTCAGCTGAGTCCACGATTGACTATAATCTCTCATCTCTTCGCCGAACGATCTCCTCCATGTCACCCTCGCACCAACGACTCACTCGTCGCTTCCCATTGGGATTCCACTCGAGTAATGACCTGGAGCGCGATGTCATTCCACGGCCTCCTCAATATATGCCCGACGCATCTCCATTTTATCCTACATATTTGTTGAGCTATCGGCCCTCGGTTGGTTTGTTGCCAGAGCTTCTTGGTGCTAGTTCTTTCTGGTCAGCCGGTCATTTGATCTTCAGTATGGAGCTAGAGAAGATGACAGCTGTTGATAAAAGTCTGTAACCTTTTGGAAATCCTTTTCGTGACACGCCAAGTTTCTGACCCGTATAGAAGGACCGAATTCACATTGGTGTTGAAAATCTGAATATTGTTCTTTATGCTGTGGAGTGCAGAAAATTTCCAAACTGGTTTCAGGTTGATGGAGGCATATCTTGTCTTTCCAATTCTGATTGACTTTGACATCTTCATCCGTTCCGACTGCCAGTAGTTGAAAGGACGCTTCCTGGATGAGTGAAGGAGGTAACCTCTGTTAAATGTCTCCCTTTGATGGTGATTGGTGCTGGTTGTTGTTGTTGCTGTTGGTTGGTTATCTTCATCGCCTTCGTATTCTCTATGTTCACCTGGAGTCCTGTATTCACTGCCAGCCTCTTCAGCCAGTTTGTTGGTTTCCGACTGCGCGTCTTCGAGTTTGTTTGTGTCAGTAGACATGTATCATCCACCCGTGAAATCCAGATCTTCTAAAGTCTTCTTATCGGTGGTAGTTCCCTGTTCACAGTCTGGCGCATAATACAGTTCACTACAATTGGGAATATCGTTGGTGATAATAGGAAGCCTTGTCTTACTCCTGTATTCACTTCGAATGCCTCGCTGAATTTTCTGTTGTGGACCATTTGACACGTGACACTGTCATATAGCCGTTGAATGAGGTTGATAACATAAGTAAAATTTAAATCCTGAGCTTTTCTCTCCAAGCTAACCTGAAACATATATTAAAAACAATTTAATAAACACACTTTCAAGCTGAACTTACCTAAGATTGTCCACTTGATTAACAACGAAGAAAGTATGACGCACACTTTGATTATTTAGAAAGTTCTCTAAGTACGGTATAAATTCTTGAAGTTCAGTGAAACGATCTCTAAACGGTACTAAGACAGCTAAACGATGAAAAGCGGGATTTTCATCATAGTGATCCCATGATGGACAAACACGACTATCAATTGCACCCCATCTCCAATCAGACACATCTGTCAGCAAATCATTGCGCACATTTATGCGGTTCTTGCCGACATGATGAAGAACGCCAAAGAGACATACAGCTATTAGGATATATGTGAGTGTTTTGTACTTCTGGAGTTTAGGCTGAAAATAAAGAATAACTTGAAGTATTAGAGTAGCTCTTTCACACAGGGTTGGGAGCAAGAAAAAAGAACCCATTACTTTAATATTCAATGCCACTTTGTAATGAAATCCATTCTGGACACTTCACCTTAATTCATACTCTTCATTTGGATCTACTAGTATTGTCTAGTGTATTAAGATTACTTAATTTACCAGGAAAAAACAACAGTTTTGCGTACTGTAAATATGTTTGGTTACCAGATAAATGCCATTTATCAGTGCAGAAGATACTCTTAACACCTATTGGTTTTTAATTAAGACTACAATAGATTATGGAGAAATTCTTTGAGTTTACTTGGCGAATCACTGCATACATATTGTTCGGTGAGTATGACGAATTTATTGCATTGACTATCTGAATTTAGTAGTTCTTAAACCCTAAATTTGTACTTTCAAAAGTTGAACAGTCTTGTTGTACTAACACAATGATCAAACTATTCAATCATTGCTACAAAAGTCTGTCGTTTTGGCAAATCCCCTATATTTCAAATAAGACTGGAAGCAGCTACTATCATAAAACAAAAATATAAGTGGTGAAACCGTTCGTTTTCGAAACTGTTTAGGTTTGCACGAAATGAAAATTTCATTTGGTCTTAAACTTTTCTCATTTTCGTAGTTTGCTAGTATTTCTGGTATGTGAAAAAATGTTTCAAAATTAAACAGTTTCAGAGTGTGTATTACTAGTCAAAACTGAAAGGAGTCTCAATACTAGGAGATTAATTTAAGCTAAATAAGAAAGCGCCTATAGTAAACGGATATGAACTACGCCTTCCACGATTAGCAATTAACTTATGCAGCGACATAATAATTCCCGACTTTCAATTATTGTCAATTTATTCAAGAGGGGAAACCGCGCAACATTGAGAATGATACTGTGAATTTTAAGAAACACAACTCGTAAACGGTTTACGGGTAGACAAGGACTGGGAACTGTTGTGTGGAAGTTACTAATATTGCTTACCTGCTCAAACCTAGATCATTCGAAAGGTAATCGAACGCGTGACCTACCAACCCGTAGAGGAGTGTCTCAATGGCCTAAGCACTCGACCCCCAGCCAGTGAGTCACAGATTAGAATCCCACTCCACCTGCTTCGGCATGGGAGACTGGGTAGTGCGGTCAGCCCTCAGATAATAACTATGTGGATCCTAGTCTGGAATATGAAAAAACTTGTTTCAAGAATTGAGACACAACTGACAGCTATTTCTTTAATGTTATGATTTGGCTTACATATCGCGGTCAGCTGCGCTTTCTGGAACAGACATTTCCGCAAGTTTTAGCATATCAGAAAGGTCGATTGGATATAGATTGCATTAAAATCAACTGCTATCATAGTGCAACTTTCCTACTACTTCGTGAGGGTCAAGACGTACTGTTGGCAGATAAGACTGCAATAGCCATACGGCAATTCCTTCAAACAAGCACCAAGTCAGCTATACTACCTTCACTCCCAGAAGAGGAGTTTGTGATAGTCTGCACCAAAAACTCCATATTACCACTTACTCAACGATGGTAGTCTTCTGTACAAAGTTTCATATATCTCACATCATAACAAGCAGTGCGACCAGCCTTAAGCAGTTGTCCCGTGGGCTCTGCAGTCATGCATCACTAACCATACTCTTTATCAAGAAAAAACCAATTTTTCAGGATGTGGATTGTCGGGGAGTAGCAAAAACCAAGCCATGCTTCAATAAACACAGATAGTTCTTCTGTTCGTCGCTCGACATTTCCATTTTCTTCGCAAAATAATTTCTTCCTCTGACACGTCCTAGTTGGAGGACTTGCTATTCTTATCTAACACTTCAAGCCTAACGTCAATACTACTCACTATATTATACCAATTAACAGGGGAGAAAAGACGCAAACACCTATGGTCAGCAACATCTAGCCGCCTCGAGTCTTCCCCTTTAAATGACCATGTATCACAACCATTAAAGAAGGCCAGAGCGAAATTCTGCGCATTACATACGTCCTTTGGTCGATAGCCGGATATCACAGCTACTCCAGAGATGACCTAATTCGGCCTTTAGTTTCCGAGTTCAGATTTCGTCAGCAATTAGTCCGTTAGGGCTGACGCAACTTCCCAAATAACTGAAGTGGCCAACATGCTCAACCATTTCATTCCCTATTCTTAAACTTGGATTAGGTGCAGACCAGTTTTGCATCATCCCCTTACGCTTGTAACGGGTGAGCTGCAAGGCATACCAGAACTTCTGCTCAATTTGTTCAGAATATTGAATTTTGTCAGTGTCTTCACCCAAAAGGAGAATATCATCTAAATACTCTACAATGGCGAGACTGTACCTTGGTTACTGGTCAATTCCTTAGTCGCTATAATCGGTTACAGTCACATACATTAGTACGTCTGAGAATTATTGACTTGATTAACTATTGGGTTCTGTCAGAATAGTGCTGATGGCTGATAACAGGAATTTACAATAAATGGAAATCTTCTAGAGGTAATCACGGATGAGTCAGTTTGGACAATACACAAAGATTCTAGGTTCCATGATTCTGTAAATACTCCGTTACGCCCTGAGTAAAAGTCATTTGAAGTAACCAAAACGAGTCATTTATATCATGGATGTTCACTGTTACTACTCTGATCTTTCAAACACTGACATGCTACTAGAGAAAACTGTTGGTTTACAGCACACAGATGGTATAGTACTAAGAGTACTACAAAGGTGAAGACAATGACAAAATGTAGTCTTCTGAACATCTTGAGTGCAAAAATAAGTCTGTTAAGCATTTCGTTTGCCCTTGTCAAATGATGCAGTACTGGTCTGTAGTGACTTCTAGTTTAAGGAGAGAGTGAAGTGATTGAATGCGTAAACCACTTCACTTATCTGAGAAGGCATATCAGCCTTAATAGAGTGGTAGCAAACAAAATCTCAGTACGGGCCTACTTGCGTCATCAGTGACTCAAGAGTGATATCCAGCTACCTACCGAAAGATGCGTGTACTATGCAGCAGTTTGTTCGGTCCTACATTACCTCATAGTTTTAAAACATGATCAATGAAAGTAGCAGGTCTGTGATGCCTTCAACGTTTTTAACATCGTTGTCACTATAATATTGTCCGCTATTGTAAAAATATATGAGTTAAGCATTAAAACTGTAAACGAAATAGATAAATCACTCAATTAATTCATAAATATTTTCTGAATGATATTTTTTGTGTTTAAATATGCCTAATTACCGACTGTTAGAATTGGTCAGACCAGAGCCTGAGATCAACCGATGAAGTCACTAACTATTATTGAGTGACTGGTTGCTTAGCTGGTACTCCTAGGGTGCTAAGAAATAAGACTTCCAAAGAGATGGTTTGAAAAATTTCAGTGTGACATAAGTGTATTCACTCTCTATCCTCCTCGATATTCTGAATATTTTCACTGATCTCCATAGGTTATACTACCACTTACCAGAGTCGAGAAAATTCCTGCTCGACTGAACGGCTAAAACTTAAGGGGACAAGATTTAGTGAGAAATTACAACATAAAGGCAAATGTTCAATCTTCATATATTTCATCTAATTGTTATTTAATGTCACATTTTGACACACACATATGTAGTCAAAAATATACACACTCCAAATAAAATGTTTACAAATAGAGAAGTTGAAGATTTTACACCAGAAGTATATATTTATAAACTTGAATATCATTAGTTAAGAAATTAAGTTACAAATTATTCATTGAAGAGATAAATTGTAACCAGAAGTCTATACATACAATAGTGTAGTTACAGGTATCACAAAATTGTCAGTCATCGTACTCCTTTAAGACGCCATAATCCGTCATTTAGGTAATGTATATTCTCAACTCCAATACCCTTATTGATAGTCAAGCTAATGTTAAAAAAAAACAAAGTGTATAGTCTCGGCAACAGTTATAATGAAGCTAATGTAAGTTAATTTGCTAACTATTCGGTAAATACTCTTACGCTCAAGATGATACTTCTTGAGCTTTTTATGCTTGGACCATGTTTTTTTCAGAACTCACGTCTGGATTGATAGATAATGTAATAAGCATGAGGATTTGAGTAACACTGATATTTCCAAAACTTACAGTTTGTAAGATTGTAGAAAGCTTGACAAATAAACATTTACAATCCACACTTACTTAGTCAAAATTACCCAAAGGAAATGAAAATATTACGTACTAGAAAAATTTACTTCAGTGAAAAAGCTTGCGAAGTTAGCGAGCACAGTTTGCCTATAAGGGTAAACCAATTCATTGCTAACTAAAGACTAAATGTCAGACAAAGAAATCACGATATCTTCCGAGAACACATTTACGATGTAAATTAAAAAGCATTAGTCGGTAATTTCACAGATTTCTATAAAAACACCGAAACACTTAAAATCTATTGAATAACTTCAAATATTATTCAAAACTAAACGGGACAGTATCTGATGGCAGCCTGATGGATGATATTCAGAAGACAAAATCAAAAATCAGTTACGCTAACAAACCTATCAGCGATATGCATGAGAAAACTCTATAGCATACAGCCATGCAAATCTGTTGCATACGGCAACAGTTCTCAAGAGATGAATGACGCTCTTGTACTATAAATTAAAAAGGACTGCCTATATTGCAAACAAATAAGTGAATGAACCCACAAATTCACTATTTCTTATTAGTGGAGAATGAAATGCTTTGTGAGATCAACAGGATGATATACATTGATTCTCTTGCTAAATAGTCACAAAGTTCATGCTTTGAAATATCTAAAGCAAAATACAGTCACGTCAAATCACCGAATCTTAGATCACATGGTCTTTAAAAATCAAGCTAGAGTAGCACTATTCTTCCTTTCCTCATTGCTAACCTATGAAAGTAATTAATTGGTGGATGGTGACTATTTGCGGAACCCAGGATGCGCATTCTGTCCTACTTGGGACTCGTCGTCTGGAAATACCGGCATTCCGCAGTCAGTGATGATGTTTTACTTCATGACTAATGGGATTCCACCATTATGTACACAAAGTGTCTGACATCTCTATTTACATATATTTTCTAAACCATAATCAAAACGTGTAATATCGAAGAAAAATTAAAATGTTCAACCAAATGCTACCTTGTACTTCATATAGATTACAATTAATACAGAAGATTTACACATTTAACTGTGTCTGTAAAAACCAAGTGGATGAAGTGTATTCAGAATTATTTTTAAATAAGTATTCAAAATTTGCTACAGCCAAAATCAAGCTTTTCAAAAAGCAAATACGAAAAAAATGTAATGGCTTACATTTCATCAGTAGATAATAAAGTAACACCCACTGCGAGAGCATTTTTCTTGCCTTCTGCCATTATGGCAACAAGAGATTCCTTAGATACTTCTGACATTCGAGCTCCAGGAGAAGTCAAACCCGGACACATTATGTTTGAACCATTCAAAACATGTTTAATAGCCCCTCTATCAACTTGCAAATGAGGCAGGATGAAAGGATCTAAAGAAATTTCATAATAGGGTCCGATAAAATAGTAATGTATTAGAGAGAGATAATGTTATAATAAGCTCATATTTTCTCATAGATGACAACCTCAATGACATGATATTAGTATAAGCAAGACCATCAGGAGGTAGTCATGCGTCGTAAGATGACTATGGGTACCGAAAGTTCACAAATGACGGATTTTATTGTAAACAAACCGTGTAGATCGCAGACATTTGCATGTTTCTGCACGGGAGGATTCCAGGTAATCTGGATGACATAAGCAAGGGAATGACGGACAAAATGAATTGAAAATTATACTAAACGTATCGGAATTTAACATACGTGTAACAATATGAGTATAACCCAATACTGCTTGTTAAATACAGAACTAGGTGGCCGAAATATTAGTTGCATGTTTACAAATTACGAATAACTGTTAGTGACAAACTGATATTTGGAAATGCTGAATACTTCCATTTTTCTAGCGAATTTCTACTTTATTCATTATTGCTTCAGTGACCAAAATAATCTTTAGTATGCATTGATAAGAGATAGGTGTGAAGACAAAAAGTGTTACCTGTTACAAGCTGTGTTTACATAAAGAAAATGCTGTGTTTGAGCTGTTTCAGGCTCAGTTGGAATTGCTCAAAAGTCCATCCTGAGTGAGAACGTGGAAGTTAGTCCAACTGTGACGCGAATTACCAAATGCCTAAATTCTAAAACGACACAAAGTAGCAGGACCTGATTGCTTGATTTTAGGTGAGTTTAAAGGCGGTGGTAAGGGATTTGATTTGAATAACTGCAGTACAACTTAGTCTATGAGAATACAAATAATTAGTCAAAACTAATGTATATATTCCATCATTCCAGTTTATAGAAGCAATACAAGCCATCCTGTGAGAAAATACTAAGCACATAGATCACATAATACACTGTCTACGATGAAAGGGACACAAATATACGTAGAATAAGTGAGAAAGTAAAAATTAAAAGAGGAACGCTGACCCTGACTTTCCGAAAAATTCTGGAAAATGGGGCTACTACCCTTGTTATATTTCATGATCTGAAGTCGCCACTGACTGAGACAACCTGTCAATGACTGGTTGTAACTACTAAAGTCTGACAGAAGTGTTGGTGTAACTTATTTTTAGTCATTTGTAAAGGTACTTTTTGACGAGGCTGTAACCATGAATTCACTTATTATCAGGTAAAGAACGAGTTAATGTAAACAGTCGATGTGGTTAGGGTAAAAATAAACATATCCAAAAAACATGCATTTAGATGCTGCCGAATACATGTCATAAAACTTGTGTGCAACAACACTTGTATCTTAATTCGGACTGATTGGTACAAAGACAAGCTGTAAACGAATGTACTGAGCAGATGGATTAGCCCGAATGGCCAGTTGTAGACAATATCTTAACACGTAGACGTTTCAATAGGTATTTATCAGATTGAAATAGCCTTAACGGCCTTCCTTTTATTTAACTCATTAACTATGCGACTGTCTACGCAAGCGTACTGCCTGCTTTTACCCGTTACTATTTTGAGTCTGGATGAACTAAAATTTTCGCTTTAAATAACTTATGAAAATAAATTTCAGGCAGTAACATGAAACCAGAACGATTGAAAACTATTTACATTTGTGTAGTAATTTTAACGACGGAATGAAAGGGCCTTCCCTTTGCCGGAAAAAAAGTATCTCTCCCTCTGAATCTGCATACAGATCAACGTGTTCATGACTAATCATTTGGAAAGAAAATAACCACAATCCTACCACTTGACATGTTTCACAACATCTTTCTTTGGTAAAATCTGGTCAACCATCTCCTTATCAACGCCATAATCTTCATTCATTCGCGTACGTATAGCTTTGACTATGGAATTTTTTGCATTGTTGATACAAGAAATGTCTTCTTTTTCGTCAAACCTACCGAGTATGAAAAAACAAGTTGCACTCACTTCTTAAACATTACAACGCAGATTCGAAATTGCGCGCTGACTGGTTCAATGCCCAACAGACACTTAGGTGAATGACCGCATTGAATAAGCTAGAAGCGTACAACCACAGGAAGACATTTCAGTTAAACGAAGTGAATGATAGTACATTTGTGGAGCATTGGGAAGGTAAATACTGATTTATTATCGGACTATTGGTATTCACAGCTGCATACGGAGGACTCAGATAGATTCAGATTTTCAGACTTATTGGTTGAGGATAGAAGGCTTGGAGCCTATGTTAATCCTTTTCTAGTGAATTTCTGTGGTTGTCCAAACCCTTCTTGAAAGAATCAGTTGGAGTTGCAGACACCACTTCTCCTGGGAGTCGGTTCCAAGAGTTTATGACTCGGTGTGAGAACTAGTACTCAACAGCTGGTGGGACTGATAGGCCTGTAATTTAAAGGGCTTTGTCTTGATCCTCCTTTGTGGATGGGGGTTACTATGGCGTCTTTCCAGTCACGCGGTAACACTCCATTTTGGAGAGAAAGATTGAAGATCGTAGTCAAAGGGCCGGCTATGTGGGCTGATGGCTCATTGAGAAGCCTTGGATGAAGTTTATCAGTACCCTTTGATTTCCCTGCATCTAGTTTCCTTAGGCAGTTGAGCACGATGTCAACGGAATCTATCCCATGTTCTACTGATGCAGCCAGAGCTGATCCTGTAGGCAGTGACGACTCCTGAGTTAAGACATGGGAGAAGTAATTTGCCATTGCTTCTGCTTTTTCTTAATCTTCTTCGATTGTATCATTGTAAATAGTCAGGTTTGGGACACCATTGGATGTTTTATTCCTGAAGTTCATGTACGAGGAAATTTTCTTAGGTTGTGCCTTTGCATTTTGGGCCAGGTGTGCTTTGAATTTCATCCTTGATTGGCGGATTTCTGCCATAGCTTTATTTCTAGCAGTGTTATATAATTGCCTGGTTTCAGGAGTCTCAAGTGTGGCATACAAGTTCCAACATTTGTGTTTACGTCTGAGTAACTTACGAATCTCTCGGTTTATCCAAGGAGGGCAGTGTTTCCGACCCTTTGGGACAGACCAAGGGATGAAAGGTTCAGTTACTTGGGCGTAAATTTGTTTAATTTGGTTCCATGCGGCTTCTACTTAAGACTCTGGGTTGAGGTACCAGTTTACTGAGTTGGCTGCTGAGACGATTGCATTTATATCAGCTTTCCAAACGTTTGGTCTAGATGGGGTTTTGGCCCTTGCTGCCGTTGCTGTGAACTTGAAAGTGAGCGCAGCATGGTCACTTCTTCCTAAAGGAGGAAGATGTATGAGATCCACATCCTCACCATGGGAGAACACTAGGTCCAGAATTGAGGAGGAGTGCTGTGAGTCATAGCGCGTGGGCTTGATGATATGTTGGACTAGGGCTAACGATATACTAGATTCCAGCAGTTTATAATCAAAGGAGTTGACTGAGGATGGAGTTGTTAGGCTCATCCAGTCAACTGTTAAGGCGTTGAAGTCGCCAACTACGAGACTTCGACATTTCGAGGTCCAGGAGCTTAGCTTTTCTATTGGGAAGTCGTCTACACTGCAGTCAGGACTGCGGTACATAGCAATGAGGTCAATGTCTTGGCCTATGCATTTAAGTCTGCAGCGTAGAAGTTCGCACGACTCACTGTCGTGAGCGAGTGCTTCGATACTACGCACGGTTAAGCATTTCTTGAGGTAGATGACTGCGCCACCTCCTTTGCGGTTTATTCGGTCCACCCCATGCACTTCGAAGTTTGGCAGGTTAACTTTGTTGCCAGTGACATCGGGTGTGAGCCATGTCTCTGTGATAATAATTACATCCGGGTTTCCGGAGTCTATCATGTTAACCAGCTCAGTCCGTTTATTTAACAGGCTGCGGTCGTTTGTGTAGCAAACTGTTAATTCAGTTTGGTGCTTCCCCGGCCTACCCACAGAGATTTCGGGATCATTAAACTGCGAACTTTGACAACCCGAAAACCCTTAATCTTAAGGTTCTTTTCGCCGTTTCGGCGTCGTTCGCTTAATTCTAGGGCCGCAGACTGTCTTTTGACTCGGTCTGCTATGCTTAAGTCGGCGCGGATATATATGCCTGATCCTTTAAGAATGTGAAATGCTTAGAATAGCATCCCTCTCTTGTTTAGAGTTTAGTACGACTTTGAGGAGACGTACAGGCTGACTTACTGTAGGGTCAGGCTTTTGGACTATTCTATATACGATGTGTATAGTAATGCCTGATACTGTTTGTGGCAGTAGCTTGTCTAAAAGGGGCTTAACCAAGTTAAGGTCATGCTCGAATCTAGTCTCGGCATCGGGGCCAGTGACTCTTCCACTTTGTAGAGAATGAGCGACCTGTTAGAGAGATCAGGTTTGCTTACCGTGGGTTTCTTGCTCTGCGGCGTAAGTGTGTTTCTGTCCTTCGTGGACGGTGTATCCAGTGTGTTATCCTTATCTCGCTTTTTGCGAGAGACTACGTTACGCCATTCATTGGCGTTCTCCTCGCTAATCGTAGTAGGATTTATCTGCCTGCTACTCACCGGTGTGGATGAGGCTTGATCCAGTAGTCCCTTGGCGACTTGAGCTGCAGGTTTTCGACCCCTGGTACGCCTCTTCTTTGTGGCACTCTTTCCAATACTGTCACTGGAGGGCTTGTCCAGTATCGTGTGGGGCAGCCTGGGTGTCTGGAATAAGGTGAGTGCTCTTCTTTGCTGAAGGGCACTCACTTATTGACAGAGATGCATCGGGAACATGTGCTGTTTTGTCGATGACGCTAGTCACGTCATCGTTGTCTGAGCAATAGTTGGTGTGCTCCTGTAGTGGAGGACGCTTGCAGTCCATGAGCTTCAAAGCCCCACTGAGAGTGGCAATGGCTTCTGTAAAACAGAATTTGGAAGTACTACAACAGTCATTGCACAACCAGTTTGCTAGAGGTTTGCAGCAGCGTTTGTATGCTGCAGGCAGATCTAAAGCTTCTGGAAGACTGGGCGATGGCCAGTGGCATGACTTTCAACCTGAAAATGTGCAAAGTAGTGAAGTTACGCACCTGCAGACTGCAGAATGCGAGTTACACCCTCTTCAATGAAAGCTTCTCCTGCACAACGTCGGGACGCGACTTAGGTCTAGTTCTAACGGAAAAAATGGACATAAGTATAAGTTACACGGGGGACGTAGTGATGGCATATGCGGTCATACACTTTACACATAGAAAGTTAGGTGCACTTACTCCTGAGCTCTTTCTTAGGTTGTACAAAACATACGTCAGACCACTCTTTGAAGTGCATAATATTATTGCACCCCCAATGCTTAGAAGAGACGCCAACCTCTTGGAAAGAGTCCAACGAAGGGCAACAAAAGGAGTGGTTGGTCTGCGAAACAAACCTTAAAGGCTGAAGAAATTAGGCCTATTCACACTTAGATACCGTCGGCTTAGGGGGAATTTGACTACTACCTACGAAATAACGAATGACCAGAATCCCCCAAACAAAGGTGTCCTGCCATTGAGTAGGTATAGGCTCCCTCGTGGAGACCCTAGAAGGAAAGCTCACCAGAGAGCAAGGAGTCATTTGCGCTTCCACTTCTTTTCCCTATGTGTTTGCCGTCCATGGAATCCCTCACCGGCGGATGTAGCTATGGCACCGTCTGTGGACGCCTTTAAGTGAAGGCTGGACAACCATGCAGCAACACAAGGACTGCGTCCAAATGGCCTATCCCCTTAAAATCCCATACACCATTCAGGGGTAGACAACTAAATTCGTCATTTTACTTCTTTACATTCTCTCCCGTCTTACACTTCCGACAAATTTAACTACACCTTTTATTATCATTATTACCGATATATGTATATTATTCATATTATTCTTAAAATTTAATCAGCTGACTGTTGTTACGTTTTCTTATTCTTTTTCTGTCTGTCAGTCTGAATAACTTCACTAATTATATCTATTATTATTATCTCTTTTCTTTCGACGACGACACCGGAGGACTAACTGGTGAAAGGATCAACTCCATTCACAGTAGTAACAGTCTTAACACACCTCATACTACAAACCACATAAAATTAATCCCTGTACTACTCCTTTTGGAGTCAACCAAAGCTACGGCAGTCGAGTGGCGGGACGAGCGACGCAGACGTTTACCGAAGATCAGGAACCTCTACCTCACAATCAAGAGGCGAGCACAAAGAAATCAAATAGGTTTATACTAGCTGGTAGAAACGATATTGGATACGGCCACGAGATAAAGTTATGCTTAGCTCAGGATTATTCTAGGCAGTATGGATCAAAAGAGATTAGCAGTAGCGGGAAGCCTGTCGACAGCCGTAATTTCGTGTGCCCGCGAGTGAGATAAACAAGTGATCTACTTTTTTGTGATTGGCCAGTTTGTCATTCGAGTTGCGGTAATTTCAGACATCATTTAGATGCTTGGTGAACTTCGCAATTTCTAGGAGCGTTTTATGAAGTCGGGTGCATAAATGACAACACATACTATTACAGATCAGGATAGAAATGATATACCAGAGGATTTATCTGCTGAATTCAGTGAATTCATCCCATATCAAGGTCTAAGGACTTCGCAGCAGTGTCAAGAATGCAAACAATGTTCCGAAGAGGTGATAATTTCATGCAACTTCAATTATCGCTTGACTATTATTTCCGCAGATCCTTAAATAAGTATAAAATACACAGCGGCCTGGTTAGTCATGATAAAAACGTCATGGTTGGTGCAGCACATACGTATGCTCATGTATATGTAGGTATACAGGGAAAGTAAGTAAACACCTACTTCATAAGATTAAGTGATACATTCAATTGATATGATTGTATTATTAGTAGTAGTCTATCTAAGTTAATGATGAATTCGTTGCGATAATAATACCTATTATTGTTTTTATAGTCACTATGAACACGAACATTATTACTATCGCTGTCAAAACTCCTGTGATTTGACATAAAGCCAATGCCATTTTTTATTAAAATCTTTGTACAAGCTTTGGAAACTACCACATAACTTGTCGTTAAATAATTTTTCATTTCATGATGCTTCGA